CTAAAATCTCAACCAGGAGAAGTCTAGTGATTGAAATTTTGTCCATGAATTCATCCTAGTATTTAAGCAGTTGCCTTGCTGTGTAATAATATATATACTGTGATAAAGGTACTGAGATCATAAAAAACGTCGATGCGTAACTACACGTTAGACAATCGTGGGAAGGAAAACCAAATGACATAATTATTAACCATTTTGATTCGGGCAATGATTACTTCTCGAAAGAATTTTTGTCACGGCACGTTAAGTTAGTGCCGCTAATAATATCTAATAATAGGTGTCGAACATTTTGGAAAGCATTAAGTCGCAATTACATTTTATGTACAGCAGATTATGATTGTGGGAGTTGTTGATCTTTGATGGACGACTAAACACGATGACATTTGGTCTTTTGAGCACAATTAGTGATTACACAATGTTATTCGCTCAATTATATCTTGTTTTAGTACTTATCGTTCGGATCACGGTTTAATATATATATACATATGTATATTAGATTCCTATTGGAATCACTTTGTCGCTGAAAAATAAAAATTTCATACGTTTCGAGTTTTATTGCTTTTGGGGAAATTGGGTGAGTAGATTTAGAATCAGACCTCAATTTGTTACTAAGATGCACAGGAGGTCCCGAATGACCCATTTCCTAACTCAAGTGCAATCCCACGTAATTTCACGATCTTTTTTATATCCGAAGTCAACGCCCCAAATTACCTCAATGTTTTGTGACTCATACGTTTCTACCAACGGAAGGTAGAAACTAAAAAACTTTACTCTATGAATTCACATAAAACTGAGCGCAAAATGGTGACACTGACAAACACTATCTAGCCAAACCTTCATACATCTTCGACCTATACACTGAAAAATGTAAGAAGAGGTGCCTGAGCTTCTCGCCTATACTGAATGAAAGTTGCCGTTGTATGAACCGAAAGATGTCGCAGACCGTCATTAAAAGGACGGCCTGATAATTAGAGGCAATACGAAGTATTCTCAAGGCTACTAGCAATGCGAACTGAATCTACTTTTCGTCTGTAGAACCATTACCAACCACATACATCGTTGCTTCATGCTTATTAGCAATCATCAGTACGGTATTGGTCTAGTCGTTAGAAACAGATTATGGAATTCAGCATATCACGCCATTGCTGGTAGTCTTGTGACTACCTCGTATTTCAGCTGATTGACGGGATATTTTTTTGAATGATGATGAACAGCATACTCGTATTTTCGTTTATTGAACGGTAGCTGAGCCGACTATGTGTAAAGCATTGGCGAACCATTTGTGGGTGGACGACTGGACACTAGGGCTCAAAAATGTCCAAACACATCTATCTATCTACGTTCCGGGGGAAATCTGGTGCGTTGATTCCGAATCCGATATCAAGACCCAAATCGTCGAACTAGATAATACATCTTTCAAATCAATGATCAGAATAAGCAGATTAAAAGAATTACACTAATCTGTATCCCTAACCACCACATCATGAGCACAGCTGGCCAACTTTTTCAACCAATTTCCTGATAGTAAAATCTTGTAGCTACGCAAGCACTCAACCATCATACATCACTATATAATCCTCATAAAGGTAGCAATTAAAAGTGCAACAACAAATCACGTGCAACGTAGATTTTTTGCAAAACAGTGGCACATCCTCAATCATATTTAACATCCGAACGATCCTTCTGAAAGCACACCTCATTATCCGCTGTATGAAAAATTAAACGGAGTTTCATTAATCAAGTTGGCATGATCGATGCTAAAAAATAAATGACGCACGGCGCAATGGATGCGTCCGTTGCCGATATGGTAATACTTGTTTCATGATCTGAAGAAATGGCGCAAGTTGAACAGGGTGGCTTTGTTTAATGATACAATGGGTTATTGATATATTGGTTTTAGATGATAGCTTTCTGCACCGCGGTTTTACCCGCGAAACGTGTAAGATGGCGCCACTAATCAAGTAACAAAATTTATCAATCGTGCAAGTTGGCTGTCAATTTTTCTAATACGATCAAAGATGCATGTTCGGAGTTTCATAGCATTACTTAAAAACGATGTTTTACTTTAGCTACAATTTGAAGCCTACGAAGTCGCGAGTAACAGCAAATGCAAAATAAAAGTATGTAACACGTCGCAGTGAAAGGTTGAGTGGGGCGATGGCAGGCCGCGCTGTTGCCGGTTTGACGCTGACGGTGGAGGTTCTGGTACTTGCCTCCACAGTTGGTTGCAGAATTTATGAGTTTGCGGATAAAACCTGCATCGGCTGAACAGACATTCACATTTATAGAGGGTGATTCACAAGTCGTGACCAAAAATGAAATATAATATATAGGACCGCATTTTAAGGGGGGTGTTTTATGTAACATTTTTCCATCGAGGGCTTCATTAAAAAGATACGGGGTATTGAAGTTTAAAAATAAAAAAGATTTTTTTAATACCTTCAAAACCGTCAACTGGAATAAACTAAAGTTTGCTATGTGGATTTAACTAAGTATTGTCAAAAGTATTTACTTGAAATTAACGTGCACCAGTGGCGGATATACAGGGGATTAGTGGCATTATTTATCACTGTTTTTTTTTTTTAACGCGCTTTTTCTCTAGACTGCATTTTTTCGGTAAAAATAAAGAAAAAGCAAATTAGATAATCAAAGCTTTACTAACATTCTGGTGGATACAAGTACCTTTATGACTTGTAACCGATCAACAGTATTAATTTGTTCAGCATACACTAGTTGTTTAAAAGCGCCCCCTGAAAGAAATCCAGCGGGTTCAAATCAGGAAACCTCGGGCCTGTTTCTGGCAATCCATCGTTGTCTAAAATGATTATTTAACCATGCGGTTATGACATGACGAACATGCGGTGGTGGACCGTCGTGCTGATACCACATTCATACTGTCGTTGCTAACGAAACACCATCTAACACATTTTCTATGTAATTCTCTAGAAAGCTAAGTATGAGCTTGCATTTAAACGACCGAGTATTATTTATTATGAGAATTAAAGGTTCCACTCCTAGTAAAAAGCGGTTCATCTGACCACAAAACCAAATCAATAAAATCTGCATTTTGATTATGCATTTGCAGTAACCACTCACAAAAATTTCGCCGTGGCACTTCGACGCCGGGTTGCAGACGTTGCACGTTTTGCCGATGGTAAGGACGTAAAACATCCCGATTTAAAATTCTCCACGCAAGACTTTGGCAACATGGTAACTTGGCTGCAATCCGCCTAGTACTTGTACTATAATCATCCAACGCCAACTTAATCACTTACAGCTCCTCTTGAACAGTATGGCAGACACCATAGCCTCAAACTCCGGGAAGTTCGGTAATTCCATATTGCCGAAGTTTTAGAACTGAACGCGTAAAAACCTTTGGGGTAGGTTGGCGTCTGTTAGGAAATCTACACAAAAATAATATCGGCATACTCGTCATTGCTAAATTCCATTTCACAACACTCAAAAATGAAAAAACTAAGCTTTTGACTTGATTTTGACAAAAAAAATGATAGTAGTATCGATAACAACCATATAACACATAACTTTGACAAGCTGTCTCCCAAGGAACATCAACTTGGTATCAAGGCCTCCTATTTTATTTTGAAACTAATTGTATCTCGGCTCTCAATGAATGATTTAATATGTTTTATTTTTACTAAAACAGTACACTCTAGGAAAAAACACAAGAGTAACTATTTATATCCAATTGAAAAACTGCGCGTTTCGAAAAAAAAACAGTGTCGTACTATTTTTATTTGGAAAAAGCATGCCACTAACCCCCTGTATCTCCGCCACTGGTGCTCGTTAATTTTGAGTAAAGACTTTTGAATGTGGACAGTTCTCCCCTTATAATGCGGTCCCATCTATGATGTTTTATTTTTGGTTACGACTTGAGAATCAACCTGTATATAGAGATACAGTTTTGCTTGAAGTAATTTCGAGCAAAAAACCTTATTTTTGCAGTTGGTCAACTTTATATTGGCTTGACTTATTTTTTTGCAATGAACTCGTATTACGCTGTATTAGTTGAAGCGGAGGAAAGTTTCAACTTGGAGTACGCATTTACAAAAGTTATATCTTGGACTCCCATTGTTCATACAATGTTTTGAGATGACGATGTTTCGATTGATGGTAACTTCAATCGTCTTCAGGTGAACTGTTTACCTAAAGCATCGACTTTGTCTACAAATTTCAAACTACACATCTGCCTTCAAACTAGCTTTAAAGAAGCATGATGGAGTCAATTGCAGTTGTAGTAGTAGTTTGAAATGAACTCATCTGCATGAAAAGCCTATGCCGTAACCCCCTTTTGTTGCATAAATAATAAGGACGCAAGGAAATGAAAATCTCACACACAAGGCACAACGTATTCGCCATATACGTACGTACATACCTAGTTTGAATCTATACGTACTTTCAGCAAATATCTCAGTGTCACTACGTATATGTATATGTAGTGGCATTCCACCTAATTAGAACTGCTGGAGGTGAGTTTATCTAGAACGGTCTGCTTTACACAAACAGCGAGATACGATGGAGTAACGCTGTTGTAATTAGCTAGTTTCGATTGAGCACATGGTCAGCAAAAGTGAATCTTTGTATGACAGAAAGAAGGTTTGCAGTAACGGCTCTCGCTGAAATGGCGGAAAATAGAGGCTGCGCTCAAAGCTTCAGCCGAATGGTTAGTAAGATCTGGCTTGGAATACTGCTCACTTGTCTGAAGAGCAAGCATTCTGTTATTCAAGCTTGACCCTTGTTAGTGACGAGAAAAAAGTACCGTGAATTAAAAAGACAACTTAAGCGGAGGAATTAAGGTTAATTACGTGAAAAAAATACATACTTACAAGATTTTTTTTTGTAGATACGGGTTAATCCATTTACGTATTATACAATAGTATGACAGTTACATTTTCAGAGTCTTAGGAGCCACTTCTTAAAAAAGTAGTTTTGCGGTGTATGTTGTCAATCGTTAGTGGATCGTCTGAGTCTAAAAAATCAAGATGAGCTTATTAGGTGGTAGGTTTATCGAGGTAAGTATACCGAGTTTTAATTTTTTGCTAATTGTTTCTATTGTTTGTAGGTCCCGGAAGGCAAAAACACGATTTTCCGTAAAAAAAATTACAATGTTTTACTATAAAAACAAAAATAATTGGAAAAAAAGCTCTAGATGGTTACTCGGTGAACCATGTGATGAACCATGATATGAGATTTCAAAATTAATGAAAAAAGTAAATACCTAATCCTCCCTCTTGTACCCTGACTACTTTTACATTATGAATCAACCACTCAACCTATTCATATAGCACCAAGCTAGAAACAAATGCATTCTGACAAGACAGCCCTTGAGTTGCTATAAAGCCTCTTGAAACACAATATAACTCTCCCACTGGTATGAACAATCGTCGTTCAAAGGCTGTAAAAGGCCCTCCTGGATCACCCTTGGCGAGGTAATTATTTTTTAGTTGATAACTGTGGTATATGTTAGATTTGCTCCTAGGTTTCGGCGATTACCGCTGATTTAACCGCAGTTTTCTCGAAACTTGTTCGAGTGGAGATACGGGGGTCTTTCTTGATAGGGCAGTATATGTAACCGTGCAGTCGTAAACCCCGAGCTTCCTGAATATGAGTGATTTCATGCAATAGAGATGACTTTTGACCTCCTCTCTCGCTCAACCGCACGATATATGATTGTTATTTTTTGAGAGAGGTTTGTACCATACGAGGATTGGAGAAAACAACCAAGAATGACATTGCTGCAATTGCAGGAGTTATTTTTCATACGTAACTTGTAACTTTTTTAATACAAATTTCCATTCCCGCTTTCAACCTTAAAATTTATTTTCCATTCCTAGCTTGAATGTCTGAAATCTTAAAGCTGCTACACACAGTGCCGGCGGCAATGTCGCCGGGTTTATGCCGAGCGGCTATGCCGCCGGCAATACAAGCCCCGCAAAGCCGTCAAGCATCATTCCGGTTGTGACAGTCACATAGAAAGCTAGTGAAGTGCTGCATTTCTGGGATTCCATAATATAACATTTTCATGAAATTTTTCAATTAAGAGCAGCACAGCTTCGTCGTCCCAATTAAACGACATTTTAATTTGTTTAAACACACAAACCGCACAACACTACCGCGCGAATGCCAGGAACGAAGTGACGCCGGCAAGCCGCGTAACCCGCCGGCACACCACGGCGGCTCCTTTGCGCGGCAAGGCCGGCGGCTTTGTATGCTGCCGGGTGTACGGCGGCTTTGTATGCCGCCGGCATTGTGTGTAGCAGCCTTTACAGGTATTTTAAATGCGTTGAATCCAAACGCGCCACCCTGTATATCTAGTAGTTTGTTAGTTCAATAGCGGAACTGTGTTTTCACTAGACAACCTTGTCTATGATACTGCAGTTCAACTGTCTGTACTGCATTTAAATGTGATAATCACGGAACTGTTATGATGACCTAGTGCTAATATAAACATGAGGCAATATATATTCTATGACTTGTAAATTCATCGATATATGTATCTTTTTAGCTCTGGGCAAATACTTCCATTATACTCACATAGATCTTCTCAGCGTCGCTTGTGTCTGTGAAATTACATGATATGGATTTTATAAGATACCGGTGCCGCCTTTCTAAGCAATAAGTAATTATCAAGGAATTTTCTGTCTGTGGACACAATATGAGATTAAATTTACATTTATGTAAAGCTGTTCTTTAATTTAATTTCCGCGCCAACACTTGAAGTAGATCCAACCTTACACGATATCGCTCAGGGTTTTCGTGGGTTTCAGTAATAACGATGACGATGTAGCTAAGAAACTTTAATGGTGGTAAGGCACAAAAATAAACCAGTAAACTAAAAAACATAGAACCCAGTAATTATCAAGGTCCCGGAAGATGATTGTCACGTCACCTGTTGCCTCTCTTGGCGGCGAAGGGAAACTGCCCTCCTCGCTCGACCTGCTACAATTTTGTCCACTATTGCTAAGTTGCCGCGCACCTCACTGAACCACTACACACTATAGCTACATTGCCACGAATAAAAACTCTGTAGGTTTCAAAACTCGATACAGGGGCGGTGAAGTGGCTATACTACAAAAAATTCAAGAGCCAACTTAAATAGGCAGACTGCATCACATTGCAACACATTCTGCGCAGGTGCCTTGCAATTGGCAGAGTCACGTACATTTGGAGGAGTGCTACTCCATGTATAAAACCTGACAGTTATTTCTCCAAATAAGCTGAGCAAGTTCTTTAGGAAGCCGGACAAACTGAGAGAAATATAAATACTATTTACTATTCGTCATTGTTCGTCAGAGCGGTCCGGTGGACCTTTGCTCTTAGTTAAAAGTTTTGTCGGTCTGTTAATCTGTCAGGTCTGGCTACCCAGGTACCAAACATGTTTAAGGGGAAAAGGGAAAGAAGGAAAGAAAAGAAGGAACAAATAGAGCAAAGAAAAGAAGTAAATCATTTGAAATAGCTTAAGCATTATTACTTTGACTACTCGAATAATTTTGTAACTCCAAAAAATAATTTTGATCGGTTTTGTATACTGAAATAATTTTCAAACTGCTCGACTGTGTAGTCTACTGAATCACACAACAGAGGGTTGCTGTGCGATTCGGCTTGATTATAACGCCGCTGTGCCTGTTGTTTTGCATAATCCCTTAGATATGGGATATCAAGATCTATGTGAATGGTCTCATTTGATACGTACCAAGGGGCGTTAGTGATTGTGCGTAGGGTTCTGTTTTGCAGGACTTGCACTTTCTGCATGTGCGTCTTGGCAGGAAAATACCAAGCCGCACATGCGTAGATGATTGCGGGTCGTAGGATCATTTTATACAACCGAATCTTGTTGATCAAACTTAATTTTGAATTTTTGCCCAACAAAGGATAAAGCTGCCGAAAGGTAATTTGGAATTTTGATTTCAAAATATCAGTATGTTTCTGCCAGGCAACCCTTTGTCAATGATGACTCCGAAGTACCTGACAGATTGCTTCCATGGTATACGAGTTCCAGTCACTGATATCCCTGAGGGGGCACCGCGACATTTTTCAGTACAGTAGATTGCCTGCGTTTTCAAAGTATTAATTTTGATCAACCTCCGATCCACCCACTCCAATACTTCCTCCACCACACTCTGCAGCCCGTCGTGAACCAAGTTACCAGAATAAGACTGGACTAGCATTGCAATGTCGTCAGGATAGAGATAGACTTCACAGTTGCTCTGGCAAGGAATGTCATGTATATGAAGTGAATAAAGGATTGGTCCTAAGACCGAACCCTGAGGAACACCGACTCTTACGGGCCGTGTTGTTGACAGCACATTGTTAATTTTGATTCGAAACTTCCTTCCTTCTAGAAAAGATTTCAACAGTTTTAGTAATCAAAATAGAAAACCCTTTTGGATGATCATATACAAGAGGCCCATGTGCCACACCTTGTCAAATGCCTTTGATACATTTAAAATCAAGATAACAGTACTTTTGTTCAGGGTGAACCCCCGCGTTACATGCTCCACCAGTCTAACTGCCTGTAGCTCCGTACTATGCTTAGACTGAAAGCCGAATTGCATGTCAGGAATCACATGGTGATCTGACGAGAAATTCTCAAGGTGACGATAAATCACCTTTTCAGCGAGCGAAAGCAACTTCAGTGCTGTGTTGGCGATTTGATCCTCTCCAGGTGCTTTACGCACCTTTAGGCCCTTAATGTGGCCTTGGAGCTCTGCTGGTGTGCAAAACGGAATCTCGGAGGATCCGTTGATGTGCTATGCTGAGATTCGGCTGAAGAGTCTTCCGTAGAAGAATCACCTGAAAAGGAGTCACCGATGTTAGCACTGATGTTGTTGTCGCCGTTCGCTCTGAAATATCTCCTGACAGATCCTACAATTTGTCGTTCCTCATCAAGGTCATTGTCCAGATCATAATTCTGTACCTCAGAGCCAGGCTAGGTTAAGTCCAAATAAGTTGTTTTGAGAAAATTGTGTTTGAAATATTTTTCTTGCATTGTATTGTATGCGACTTGACATGAGTTAAAAAGTCGTAACTTCCTTATTATTACAGATAGATGAATCCTGCATGTATCAAATGAAAATTAACAAGATTATCATAAGCTTAACATATTAAACTCATTTTTGAAAGAAATGGACATAACCTAGTCTGGCTCTGGGATACAGAATTGTGAGAGAGCTATATTTCCATGACCTCAGCAAAAACCTCCACTTTATCCTCAGTCCTGAAAACTATGCCTCCAGGATCATGAATATCTGGTAGTTGTTCTTGCCTTCCGTTTCTGAGCGATTTTGCCACTTTCCAGAGAGGAATACTTGATTCAAGCATCCCCGCCAGAAAGTCGCTCCACTGCTCATTGCATTTGAGTGCATTTCTCACTTCATGTACGAGATTCGTCGCTCTACGAATGTCATCAGGATGAAGAAATATAAATATTTGTGAGCCGCAAAAGACCAGTGAGTCGCGATGGAGGATCGTGAGTGACCCACTCACAAGGAATCTAACCGAACCTAAGTACATTAGTTATCATCTACTCATTTATTCCGCTAGAAGCAAATGGACCCTGACAAATCAGCCCTCAAATTACCGAAAAGCTTCTTGAACGACGATAAAACTCCCACACTGGTATGCACAATGGTTACTATGATGGCTACTAAGCCAAGGCCGAGATATCAAAAGACAAAAAACAAGATGTCTTTTTTAAGTGATTGATCATTTTTTGTCGTATCTAAAACATATATGCACTCCAAAATAATATATCTAACTTTGCTTTCGAATCACCATAAAATTTAGTGATATAAAAGTTTGGGCGGCTTAAAAACTCTGAAATTAGTCATATCTCTATATATAACTGTAAATGTCGGTCCAGTCTGCGACATCACGTCTAAACCACATACGGAGAGACATAAAACCTTGTGAACATACTTATTGATACCCGAGAAATTTTAAAGGCATCCCTGAACTCATCCTCGATTTTCTAATCAACTGTGTGGGTTAGTCAATCTGGCATCAGCGCGGCTTGCCATCTCCCCACTCAATCTGTGATCATCAAGAGATACAGATGTATACCTGAACTTGCTGTTACCCAAGACTTATCACGTTCTGTATCTTTGATGGCATTAGTAAATTGACGGTCAACTTCCCTGTTTAAGAAATTTGGTCGCCTTATTAGTGTCGGGAACTACACGTTCCGTGGGTAAAACTGCGGGACAAAAAGCTTGTCATTAATATAACTTCAATTGTCCTTGAAGCTAATGCTAAGTATGTAGATATTTATGGATACGTAGTGCTGATGCAATCGACTTGACTCCGTTGTTAGCGAGGATGTCTTATGTGAGAGACGAAGTCACTGCCAGTCTTTTTTTTCCAGTTCACTGGCAGAAATCGGTGTTGCCATTATTTGTAATCAAAATAAGTCTTCAGTAATGATTGGAAGCTTTTATTAAAAATATAAAAAATATCAAAATAAATATTCAGATCACTCTGTAAAATCTCGAAGCGGTACAAGGAAAATGATATACCTACTCAAAGTACTATTAAACGAGGCGAAACAATTTTCCAGTCCGATTTTTTCATAATCATGTTTGTTTGACATCCCTTATTTTTAATCAAGAGCTTGTTCAACTACAACCCGGTTCAAATTTGTTTGAACAAATGACAAAACTGTGTTAGGTTTTCTGTATCATTCTTAACAGAAAAGATTCTTAGCAACTCTTCTCAAAGGTTAACTGTTTTAGAATTATGAGAGATCCAATGTCTGAAAGACCCTGAAAATGCTCATCTCAAATGCCTAAGAATTCCGTTGAAAGAATGTGACCCAAATTGAAGTTCAAATCTTCCTCTACAGAAATCCGGAAAGTGCTTAACACCTACTTTGTTTTAAATCATTGTTATTTTATTATTGATAACACACAATCAGCCACGCGACCATCCTTTTAGCGTATAGAAAAAGCGCTGTGAGAGGCGTTAATTAACAATTAAATAGCAATTATTTAAATTGAGCGGAGTTCAAAATACTCTTCGAAATATTGTGCCCAGATTCTCATACACTTGGCGATAACAGCAATAAGTTTCGAGGCACTGAAAATTACTATTTTTTTGGTTTTTCAAACATTAAATCACTTAAAACCCGAAAACTGTCAACATCAGACAAATACATTTTTTTTTTGTTTGAACATCGAGTTAGATAAATTCTTCCAGGAGTGTGAAGTTTTTGCCTCATCGATATCAAGCTCATTCAAATTGCTAATGGATTGGTAACTTTTGAACAGTAGTTTACATAGATTGTCTACGTTTCAATGTAGACAATGTATAGAATGCGCATCCAATGTAATCAATATAGTCAACGCCAAACAAAGTGGCGTGCACGTCAACACGATAAAAATTCCCCGGCCTAATGTCTAGGTTTCTATTGCAAACAATTGCTCTATTGCAGTTTCATATTAATGTGATATATAAATTGTAAAATGGTCATTACTCTCTTATTATGGTTAATAGTCATATAAACATTGTTATTAAAATATCACATAAGTTGCTTTCTGATAAATTTAGACGCATTATGCGAAATAAAATGTTTTGCAAACGCTCCAATCACTTATCGACATGTAAACGCACTAAACCGATTTCGCAGCGTTGACACATTGTCACCTTGAAACTTATTTAAACTGGGAACTGACATTTGTATTAATTTTGACACTGAATCAATTTGTGGCATTTCAAATCTTTATAAATCCTTTGGCCCCGCATACTGTAAATCAACAACTGTTTGTTTCAAAACAAAATTATTCATTTTACGAGTAGATAAAGGCAATTTTGGTATATAAAGATGCCCAAACAGTTAAATAGTCGGTGTAAGGAACTCGTGGCCTCGTTAATGCACTACTTTGAGCAAGAAAGGGACAACAACGGGCCTTTGTTGCCTTTAAATGCTGTTCAAGAGGTAGGTTACTAATAATTATATGTAATGTATATTAATAATAGTGAAATTTTATTTCATTTTTTGTAGCGTGTTGCTGCTGCTTTAAAAATTAGTTTAAGGACAGTTAGTCGTATTTCCGAGGGTGTGAAAAGTGATGCAAATTTAGAATCGCCCAAGAAAAAGCGGAGTTATATTAAACGTGTAACCAACACAGCGACATTGGATACAAGTGCCATTCGAGAAGTGATCTATAATATGTATCACAAAAGTAAGATCTTGTTATAATAACTTATCAGAAATTTGCATTAATTTGTTAACTAAATTATAATGTCATATTACACATGGTTTCAGAAGAACAAGTTACGATACAAACTTTATGGTCTCGATTAAGAGATAGGGCATTATTTGATGGTAGTGCCACGTCTTTAAGGCGGTTGCTTAGAGATCTTGGATTTAAGTGGCTTAAGGACAATCCGCGACGAGGGCTCATGGAACTACCAAGTATAGCTTTGAAAAGGGTGGAATTTCTAAGGCAATACAATCAAGCCAAGGTTGAGGCCTTATACCAGTTTGTCTTCCTCGATGAAACTTGGATATTTCAAAATGGGACCATAGGTCGCTCTTGGTAAAATGGAAACCAAAAAAGCGTGAAAGCTATTAAAACAGATGGTAAAAGGTATGTACTTTTACACAAATTGCACTATAAAATTTAAAACTAATATATTTTAGATACATTATATTACATGCTGGAAGTGAAAATGGGTTTATTGAGGGTAGTGAAGCGATATTTTCTTCGAAAACAAAATTCAGCGATTACCATGGAGAGATGAACCAGGACAATTTTTTGAAATGGTTTCAACATCAGTTATTAGAAAAATTGGAGAGTCCATCTATGATTATACTGGATAACGCCCCTTATCACAGCATGATATTGAACAAAGTGCCCAACAATGCATGGACAAAAAAAAAATATCCAAGACTGGTTGACAAATCAAAACATACCATTTTTAAACACAATGTTTAAAACAGAGCTATTGAGTATTGTTGCTCGGTACATAATGCTTCTTAATTATATATATTTTGGTCGACAGTTTATATTTCTTTTGTTTATTCCTATTCTTAAAATAACTGCTTTTTTAGAAACAAACCACCTAAAATATACGTGATTGATGAATTGGCGGAACAACATGGGCACAAAGTTCTTCGTCTGCCTCCTTACCATTGTATATTTAACCCTATTGAGTTAATTTGGGGCATAGCAAAAGGTTACTATAACAGACATATTGGTAGAGATGGTAACAGTGAAAAAGACTGTTTGGATATGTGGAACGAGGCTCTACAAACGGTTACCCCAGACATGTGGAAAAATAGTGTTCGACATACTGAGCAAGAAATTTTTAAATGGTATGAAAGAGAACGAATTTTTGATCGACCAGACATCGAACCTTTAATAATCAACTTTGAGAGTGATGAAGATTCAGATTCAGACAGCGCTGAAGAAAGAAACTCCGACTAACTTTATTGTACAGAAAAAGCTTACACCAGTAGCTTACCTAATTTTAGAATGCATTTTTCTGTATGAATTCTGTAAAATAAATACCATGCATAAAATTTGGAGGACCCCATTTGGATTTTTATTCAGTACCTTTAAGCTATCAATTAAATATGGTAGTTTCATAGTGTCATCTGATCAATAATTGTCATACTTAATGATTATGCAAGTACAGATCTATAATTTTATTATACTATTATTTTTGTTCTCATTTGAGGTTAATATTGCTTATAAACCTAGATATGTAAATAATAAATTTTATTATTTGACAAAAAGTTTGGCAACAATGTAAATTTTTCAACACACCCACCTTGATGACGTGCACGCCACTTTGTTTGGCGTTGACTATATGTATACAATGTTTCATATAGTGATGAAAACAATATATAGAATAGCAGTATGTTAGGTTGTCAAACGCAAACGTCTAAACATCGGTAAACCGGCAATTAAGGAAACAATATTGTTGGACGCCCTAAAAATAAGGAAATTCATGAACCGTGATTCGTTTTGTTCAAAGATGCTGAATGAACTGAGCCAAGGGTGAGTTTTGTTTCCAGAATATATCTTACTTTATTATAAAAATGTTCCTAATTGGCGTGAAACTATAACTTTGTGTATACAGATAGCAGATGTCTATATTTATACATTTTCTGATTATTCAAATATCAATTCTATAAGCATTTCATATATGCATGTGACCTAATTGAGCTATCATTTGCTATTGTATGTATTGTCTACATTGTTTACATTTACAGTTACAATTGTATACGTGTATACAATGATGTATTTTACATGATTACACAATGCGCTCGTCACTGCTTTTCAGACACATCAAAAACTAATTTCTTAACATACATCTACGGCCATTCAAGCATACAATATACACTTCTCTTTTGGATTCATTTTCGACCCAAGGGCGCACCCATAGTCCCTAGCGAAATCTTTAGAGCTCATCAGCCTTCCCATGACCCTAAAGCTCGGAGCTCCATGTACTGAGATGCTTGGATTCACATGCTCTTTGGACATTCTAGGCTCGTGGCACATGTACGAACTGGCAGCAACCCAAAACATTTGGTTTTGGGTCAAATTGATGCTTGGTAGGAGTTTTTCGGACCCGTGACGGGACACCCAATTTTGGTACGCCCTGTATGCTAGGATCACGCCAAGATAGTCTGCTACGTTTTCTTCGAAGGTTTGTGTACCATTTTTCTGCAAAAGATGCATAAGAAGTACTCTTGCTGATAATATAAATGGTTTAAAAGTTTTTATAATGACGGCATATACATTTTTCGCCATATATTTCCACTTCAAAAAACATATTCGGAGTCTTTTCACTGTGACTACTCACGCCAACTGGCAAGGAAATATTGTAATCGCAAAAAAATTTGAAAGTGAGCTATTACATGTATATTTTTTTGTTTGATATTGAATTGCATGTACAGGGTGGTCGAGTGAGAATGCGATGTACTGTATCTGAGAACCTATCCATCGTAGAGGCTTGCGGTAAAAACAGTTATTACGGTTAGGACGGTCAAGAGGAAAACCTTTCAGGTTTCGGAAGTGGCTGCAATCTTCAATCTAAAAAAGTGATTTTTCTGTGAATTCTGTAGAACCTTAATGTATATTGTGCAGACTCTTACGTCACTATTAAAGGTGTCTTATCGGTCCAAAACATTTGAAATAAACATTGTTTATTGCCACGCCTATCTGTTAGACTGTGACTCAACTTCTTCCATAGCCAATACTAGAATATCCTCTATGCGTTGACTAACGAGTAGATGGTAGGAGAGCAGACTTCGAATTTTTTTGTTAAATCGTCGCGATGCTACGATAAAAACTGGTCAAAATACATGGTACTTGATTAGTCTTCAACGTATCATATCAGTACGTGATGTTACCAAAACTTTACGGTCGGCTCTTGGACTATTACCGGTTTACGAAAAAAAATTGACTTTGGCGATTCGCTCATAGAAGGTTCGAAATTCTGCCAGAGATCCGCGTGTTTCGTTCTGCATTTACCGAGGCGGTGTTGCAAAACCGACATAAAATGTTTAAAAATCGCAACCTTTATACTGAGCTGAATGGAGTTCAGTTCTTTCGACGGCTTTTGATTGGTCCGAGAAAGAGACATACGAAATAAACATATCGTCTTAAAGTCAGGCTGTGTAAGTAACTGGCAACAATGTCACATACACCGGCGACGATTGGACAAATACGAGGGATGTCTTTTAAGTTTTGCATATGGAAATAAAATAACACGGTAGGTAGTTTTAAATGACTTTATTGTTTTTCGAAGTATTCTCCACGAAGATTAATATACATCTGCATGTGCACGAACCAATTTTCGAAGCACTTATTCCACTCGTTTGCTGGCAGATCCGAAACGGCATTTTTGAATGCGTCAACTGCTTCTTCTGGTGACTGGAACCTTTGACCACGCAGTCTGTTTTTAATTTTCGAGAAAGTAAAGAAATCGTTAGAACTTAGATCGGGACTACATGGAGGATGGTCCAATAATTCCACGTTTTCTTCCGTTAAATACTGCCTTGTTTTTTGGTCTGTGTGCGAGCTTGCATTGTCTTGGTGGAGGATGATTCTTCTTTCGGGGTTGATTTTTCGAAGCTCGGTGATGACTTTTGGCAAACAAATGGTGGTATACCAATCCGCAGTAACAGTTCTTTGCTCATTAAGAGGAATTGTTGCAATATGACCCGCTTTTGACACAAATGTCGCGACCATATTTTTCGAAACACTTCGAGAACGGATGACTTTTGTTGGCATTTCTTCACCTTGAAACTCCCAAGCAGTGGTTTATTTTCTGGTTCATAACAGTAAATCCACGATTCATCACAACTAACAATTCTGTACACATTTTTTGAGTTTCCGGAATTGAAACGGTCAAGCGTTTTTTGGCACAAATTAACCCTGGCTGCTTTCTGCTCTTCAGTCAACAGGGTATCCAACGAGAAACTAATTTTCTTACTCCTAATTCTTCATGTAATTTTTTTTGAATTGAGGTCTTTGAGATCTTCAAGGCCGCCTCAATCTTGCGAAATGTCACATGTCTATCTTCAATGATGAGTTTGCGCACAGCATCGACGTTTTCCTGGGCGACTGCCGTTTTTGGTGCACCCACCCTGGGATCGTCGCTAAGACGTTCGAATTCTCCATACCAATGGTAAATTGTCGACTGATGTGGCGCTTCGTTGCCGAAAACATACAGTAACTCAGCAAGGCATTCTTGTTGCGATAATTGTCTTGTAATAAATTATGGTGCGAAAATGTTCTCGGTTGAGTTCCATTTTTCTAATGACTTGGTGACACTTAAAAATTCACTGTAGTGAGAACACTGCACGTATTGTTGTGAAACTTTGAATTTGGTTTACTAAAGAGTGAGGTTAAGATTCAGTATTGACGTTCGATCCGCGCGGCTTACTATGTTTCTATATGCAAAACTTAAAAGACATCCTAAGCAATTTCAGGCTAGAAAGAATTTGTATTTCAAGCTGACACTTCTCCTTTGTTACGAAACTGAACATGTAATATTGCGCGAAACGTGTGCTTTATAACTTGATTGAGTGAAAAATATATTTCGTAGGCTGCAAATTGGAGGTATCGCCACCATTAATAGATGTGCAAACTGAAGTAAATTTGAACAAAAAATGCTCATGCTACGAGTGGCCGACAATGAATTCATCCAAAAAGGATTATCTATTTGGCAACACCGCATTTATCACTGACCAAATGAGAATAGCACGTATTTATTTCTGTATCTGTACGCCATGTTTTTGGTTACATCTTCTATCTCTCTCTAATTTATTCACCTTGTGTAACCGTCTTCTTTTGGTACAACTACTCTTTGCTTTGATGTTGACCGTTTGACACGAACCATGAAACATTCTATCGACGTATCGAAGTAAAAATCAAATCCTTTTGGTCGATTCCTCTGATGGGCAATGCAGACACACGAGCCGAAAAATGAAGAACTGTATAACTGTTGTATAAACTGTAAAATGCATTTTTGTCCAGATATTTACATACTGCATACTTACACTAAATTCATCCCTGAGGTATTCAAAGTTATTATAGTCTTGCATAATGCATATAGAGTCATTATGAAACCTGTCTAACGTCTCGTTCTTGGTGAAGTACGTCTCTCCATTATTTCTTAGGTACGATACGATCCCATGGGTGTACTCATGCCCTATTATTGACCCTAAGGCTCCATAGTTTATGTAGGCCGGCCTATCTTCGTCAAAGATAATGCCTTGAAGTAGAGGAGTTGGCAGATCTGAAGATGAAGGTAATTTGAGAACGTTTGAAAGGACTTACACTGTTTCACGTTACACTATCTGAGAATTGGTCTTATGGAATGGCCCCTTGTGGCACTTGTATCGTACAAATACGGGAAGCATCTGTCTGGCAACCTGGTAAGGTAAAGGAATAATGTCACTGACAGTTGCCATGCTTACAGTTTCACCGTAGGTGGCCAAGCGCTGATACAGCCACGCCAAGAAGACTAGAAGCTCGAGGGTAATCTCATCTAGAGTATGGTCAAGCCAATTGTGTCAAGAAAGGGCCCTCAACTACAGAATTTGTTTCAGTAATGCATTTAAGGTCCAGCGGATGTGGCATCTCTTTCATTTCGACATCCTTTTGTTGCTTTCGTCATAGAAGTAAAACGTAAACAACCCCAGCTTGAACAATCGAGACAAGTTGCAAGCCGAACGTCAATAAACCAACAAAGCATGCACATGTTTATGCGACATGCTTGTTGGTTTAATATTATTACATATGTTTACTTTTAATCATAATATTAAAATAAATAATGCGATTATGTTGACATTTGTGTATACGTATACATGGGCAAACGTTCCTCGCGCACTTCATTTCTAAAAGTCATGCCCTTCTCACCGGCAGTATTTGCGGCATAGTATTACATGTCTAACCTTATAGTCGAGTACCAAAAAGGGCAGCGCAACACATCGCACGCCACTGCCACGCCGCACCAGCAGTGGCGTTTTATATTCATATAAGATTTTTAGGTATTTATGAGGCCTACAAAATGAGTTCACACGTAAAAAGATCCGACTAATAGCAAAAATAGTTATGGCCGAAAATCGACGCAAAATCCAGGTTTTGGCACTTGTTGGTAATGCGACGATCGTTTGTCGCCGATATTTGAAATCTTCAAATTCGTAGGATTCGTACTTCTAAATAACCAACAAAATTGGAAGTATATTGGTCATGTAGCTTTTGAGAATTCCTAATTGTTTTTCCCAAAACACCTGTTTTCCGGCCATCACTACTAGTTTATTGAGCAATATACAGGGTTAGTTCAAATGGCATTTTATAGCAAAATACACTAGTTTACTTTGCCGATATGAGTCGCAAACCATTCCGGAAAGATAAGTGTTATTTTTTGCAAAAAAGGATGGGTTTTTTCTTCTAAACATTTCGCATTTGTGAGTAGTTCGCGACAAAAGATGATAGACACATCCGCTATTTTAAAATGTATATAGTAACGTATGTTTTTAGAATTCTGTAGCGCATTTGTTCAATTACTCTCAAGTACGAAATGTTTGAATTTGTTCTGGAGAAAAAAAAGTCGTAACCTTTGCTTTTCGCATAAAAATAACATTTATCTTTCGGAATGGCTTGTGATTCATATCGGCATAACGTGTATTTTGCTATCAAATGTTCTTTGAACGAACCCTGTATATTTCAATAAACTAGTAGTGATGAAACAGGTATTTTGGGATAAGCAATTAGAAGTTCTCAAAAAACTACTCGACCAATATTCTTCAATTTTGTTGTTGTTATTTAGAAGTATTATACGGATCTGAAGAATTTATAGTGGTTGCGTGAAATTATCGTCGCATTACCAACAAGATTTAAAACCTGCATTTTGCCTCGTTTTTCGGCCATAACATTTTTGCTATTAGTCGGATCTTTTTACATGTCGTCTCATTTTGTTCCATAAATAATAGTTTTTTCGTTCTTGTCAACACTTTTGGTTGAAACTCATTCTTTGTTGTCAAATTTTCCCACAAAAATTGGTGTACCCATTTTACATTTTATGCGTCCATGTTTTAGATACCCCCTGGACCAACTTGCACCAAGACAACCAGACTTTACAATTATTTCGGCGAAATTTGCCAATATGATTGGACTATTTGGTAATTCTAGCAATGCGATTTCATCGCAGTATTTTGCTCAGAATAATTGTGTAGATTACTATGAGCTCGTGACCATTGCCTTAGGCTGTCCAAATCACAAACTACTTTCAGTAAGCACGTGTAAGGTCAGTTATGCGTATTGGTCAAATTTCGCTAAACATACAATTTTCTGTACGTCACTATACAGGATACCATAATATAACACACAAAACCGCTATCAAATATCAAACGTTGTGAAAAATAATTATGCCTTGACATCTCAATGGACCTGCACTATAATCTGTGCCTGCTTTGATTACGGTGCGATCCGTTCCCTATAACGGCAGGGGTGTTACCTAACTTGAAAAGTGACATTATGTCGATTTTTTGACAATATGAAGGTTTTATGACATTATGTAGGTCTTCCTACAGGATGTCAACTAGCTCTCGTTCGCTTCATGCTCACTTGTAGCAAGCGCGAAATGAACTATTTGCACACTAGCCTACTTAGTCAACAAGTTGATATTTTATCGGCATTCCATAGCCCTGCGGATCAGCGGAACTTATCCATCCTGATTCTAAAGTCGTGACCACAGCATGAAAACTAGAGATAGGAAGTTGAACTCATGGATTGGGGATGAAACCAAAAATGTCGACGATGAAGTGAGTTGGTACACTGCGCAGCAAATGAATTTCAGGTTTTGCGCATGTGGCATCTCTCTCTGTTGCTGTCAGCATGACTGTAAACAACGCCAATTTTGACAGTCCGGACCAGTTGCCAGTGGACGTTTTGAATAATATTAATAAACCACGAAATAATAAATCCACAAATCATTGCAGAACGTGAGTGAAATGCATGTAAAGATTTCGGCAGGTTATGTTGACATTTTTCAATGCACAGACGCTCTGCGTCATATTCTGCGCCTACTACATTTCCGAGAGCCACGCCATCCTTGGCTTCATTTGTATTATATGTAGTTTAATCTCCTATCTCTAGCTTTCCTGGATATCGTATATGAAACATATTAAAAAATAACGATAACGACCATATCTAATGCTAACGCTCTAACGCCTAGTGTACGTGCATTATTGATCAACTGTAGTTTGTTCCACTTACATAAAGTCTCAATGGCGAAATAAGCATTAACAACAACTTTTGGTTCTCTCATACGTTCCTCTTCATTACTTATGTTCCTGTAAAGACGTTCGAAGGAACTATCCAGTTTATTTTTTTCTATTATCCTTCGCATTTCAATAGCATTATCGCTGGTAAACTTGACCTACAACCAAAAACGGTAATGGGCTTAAACGATTCACCAGGACAATATCCCAATTGATTTATGCAAAACAGCGTGCAGAAAAGCACTGCACCGCTTGAAGGGACATAGCAGTACAAGGTACGCCTGTCACTTGACAATATGTGATATTTTGAATCTCACTAAATGATCAGCTGTTATTTGTTGTTACATTTTGACATGTTAGAAAATAGTGTATGAGGACATAATAAATATGGCGAGTACAGAGGTCACAAATGTATATACAGGGTGTCCGTAAATTTGGGGTTTCCCTTTTCAGACACAACTACGCTTGATATAATAAAGCTAATGTAAAAAAATAAATGAGAAAGTACTCACTGTTCAGTTGAATTGAAAGTCCGAGTACGGTTCTGTCGTAAAATCCGTATTTACATCGTATTCTGACGTCGTTTAACTGTACGCTGGTGCTGGCGCTGTGGACGTGATCGAGGGATATGACACGACCGGCTTCAATTTGGTTCAGGTTTGATTGCGGAGCCCAGTATCTCGGTCTCTTAAGACACTGGTGTATATGCTACTAATAAAATCCGCTTATTTTCTCAAGAGCTAACCGTCGTGTAAAGGAGAACCACAACTTTTCGGACACCCTGTATAGTAGATCCAATTCTGTATAAAACAACGAAAAAAGCCAGAGGCACAATAAGTTATCTAAATATTATGTCTATCTAGGGTTTCACTCTCTTTGTGATGACTTGCTTTTTTTCGTCGAGTTAATTAGGATTAGTCCTACTTTATCATTTTATTTGCTATTCGTTCTAAGTGAGGCATAATAATTCTTTGTCTTCTACCTTGTCGTAATGCATGGTCTTGTCAAACTTCTTGGTGTCAAGTACATCTTCCGTCCATCCAATGGCCTCCGTCATATTCTTTATAAACTCAAATGTGACCCGCTTTGAATTTGGTTCAATCCACTCGGTCTGTAGTATGGTATTTCTAAGTTCTTGCTTTATATCACTTAGCATTTCTTTTACATATTTTATCTTTTTCGGTGTTGTGTACCTTCTCAGGTATTCGGTTTCAGCTATATACTGGAATCTGAAATGCACAGTGTTGTTTATGTATATGAAAAATTACTCGTACCTACTTATGCCCACGTTTATAGTCGACTCTTGAGGATCAAGTGCCGATCTACCATCGAATGTTGAGCGAATAATAACGCACCCTGGAATAATCATCAAGTGGAGACTTAGCAGTTGAATTTAAGATTTAGGGGGTTGTCAGGTTTATCTTTTTCAAGATTTTCAATTTTGAAAAGAGAACTTTGAAAATTATTGAAAATTTGAGATATTGTAAAATCTCGCAAACTTTGTAAACATCGAATATTTTTAAATTTCTTAAAACCATTCAAGACTGAAAATTTGGAGGACTAATAATTTTAGAAATTTTGAAAATTCCAAAATTTTTGAAAATTAAGTGAATATTAGAAATTTTCATAATTGTAAAAATCTATTATAAAAGTCTTTTTTGAGTGCAAATGTTAAATCTCCACTTGAGGGTGAGTTACATTCGTTTAAAATCAAGGGATTGATCAACTCTTAATCGGAACTCAGCCTTGGAGGTATGACTATAAAATATTATACTTTTTTGAGAGAACCTCTTTAGCTTGGTGGTTAGCTCGAGAGTTCGAATCTCTACCTCGGAAGTTAATTCCGTTGTGATGTGTGTTGTCTCTATATTATGCACGTGGGCGCACGATTTACGATAGGTACATCTCATCGCCGGAGCTAGTTTATTATATCAGTTGCCAGAAGATGGCTCGTTGAGTAATTTTGGGCAGGTGCTACGTATATATAAAAAATGGTACCAGTCTTAAGCTATGAAAATACCGATAATATATTGAGGATATAAATCCAAAACAAAATTTGTAATAAACTCACAAATTGCACAATAAGCGTCACAACTAATGTCCGAATAAAATAAACTGCCGTTTCTCCTTCAAGTTTAACTCGTCCATTTTATGCAGCAGTAACAAGAGTGCTCCTAGAAAGGAATAAACAACAGCTTCAACAATCACCGGGGACTTTACAGCGATATATTGCGTCGTTGTTCTAACAAATCATTAGCCTCTGCCACATAAAATACGATGTCGGATATATCGAGATTACTAGAACGACTAGTTTGAAGTATAGCTTACCATGGTACATTCAACAACAACAACAAAATGCTAGAATCGTCGTTTGCAAAGCAGATGTTGTTGTCACCGTTAACACTAGAGAAATATTTTAATTTTAATTCTTATAACGATCTGTGGTGTGTTTCAGTTGATAGGAATTTCTAACATTTTCTGTTACGGTCATCTAATGGTAAAAATGGAACTAGGCTGGCAAGGTTTGGAATTCACTGGAAGCCCATACAGATGAATCTAATATGAAAATCAGAATTCTCGTATACTCTCTAGAAATCCTCACCGCCCTAAAACAATCATTGTATGGAAATACGGCAAAAATTATTCAAAGAGGGCATTTAAAAAAACGCAACGCTGTCGTCAAGTCCTGAAGGATTATATTCGGCACAAATTAGTACCTCTCAGAAAAAAGTTAGCTACGAATAAGTATAACAAAGAAGTTATATGGATCATATCGGTCAAACAGGCTTATACGTCTCCACAGACTGGACAACATAGCTAACAAGCCGCCTTACCGACAGTACCGACCACTCGGCAATGTGGTAACCCAGCACGGGTTTGCATACATGCTCATACACGCATCATCATTCGATCACGTTTTAAAGTCAAATGTACGGGAGAATCTATGACATGAAAAATGTACAATGCGAAGAATTACCAGGGTTAGAAACGTAAAAATTGCTAGCACCGAAAAATTGCTTAGGTCTTCCCCACCCATTGCAACCCCCAAAAAGTTTTCGGAAAATGGAATCAGGATCCTCTCGGCGAAGTTTAAGCGATTTTTTTTGTTTCTTGTCTGTATCTCCGCCGCCACTGAACCAAATCTGCAAAACTTCAAAGTTTTTCATCCTTGGCATAGTAAAAGTTCTTATCAATTACTATACTTCCTCGCCAACAGCGTAGGAAGTAACATGTGTATTATGAAAATTTGTGAAAAAGGCCTTATTATTGCTGAGGTGAGGGGGGTTGTACCCTCAAGGACGTCTTAGGAAATTCCCAGCTAAGGCGCTCATCTACTTTCAAAGTAAGTATATCATTCCGTAGTTTTGGCTGACCGGTTACAGCACGCAATTAATTTCTAATCATATCGTGGAAAGTATTTGATAAACACTTTTGGACAGGGGAAGCTTTTATAACCACTCTCGGGCTATACTCGTATGCGCAAATCGCGTACCATTTTCTACCTTCTCTACGTAGCAGTCGAAATAACCATATGTTTCGAGTAACTGTGCAGTATAGTAATTATCCGCAACGCTTCCTTGTCAATCCAGGCTTTAGTATCCGGAATCAGTCTTCAAGTGCATGAACCATTTCATATCTGCTGCCATCTAATAAGAGTGTCCCTCTTCATCTGTATTTGGCTCCAGTGCCTTTTCTATAGGAAGCACATCTTTCCTCAACCAGCAAACCTATCAGCCGTGACACCACCCACCACCAACAACGCATATGTGGATACCATTCTATAAGACCAAATCACGCGCAGTCCTACCTTCTCTGGCTTCTGAGCATTAGCTGTCTACATTTCTTCTTCTTTTTCGTGACCTTACCATAAATAGCGGCATATGCTTCATGCAGCATAATCAGGTTTGCCACCTCCAGCCAAGATGATCCTACATCACTCACTATTGGAGCCTCCCTCAGATGGCACTAGCCGAATCAGGGATTCAACGACTTTGTTCACATTATCAGTAGTGCGCCTTATGTGTTGAGTTAAGGTGTTTTCCGAGCCACAGTTCTGATATTTGACTGCATCTTGGCTTTGAACAAGCGACGAAATTAGCTTCTATCTGCCAGAAAGTATAACCACCTCTGTCTTCTCAGGAGCTAGTCTCAAAATATTCTCTTTGATATTTATGGTAATCCCCGTGGGCCAAAAGCCTTTCTACTATAATGTAACTCCTTGCTGGTCACTATCGTCGCTAGATCATCAGCATACCCTGTTAAGCGAATACCCTGCAGCACCTGCAATCTCTACGTGTTGCTAATATCCAAAGACATCTAAGGGATAACTATTACTAATAATGAGTAAGCCATACTTACATTTTTGTTGCATGAATATAGCATATATTTTTCCTATCGAAATCCTCCACCTTGACAACTTTTTTCATCTCCAAGTATGTCGCTCGGAATTTATCTGGCAAGTAGTGAATATACTTCAGTACTAAGCCCCATCCAATATAGTTTGCGATGTACCTGAGTCCAAATTTCAAAAATTTACTAGGTGCCTTCGAGTCACTAGTCGAGTCCACAAATTGAAGGATAATAATAATAAAAAATTTGTTTTAGCAAAAGTCTTATAGTTTTCGAGATTTTCAACATCTAATTTTTCTAGAAAAGCTGGTCTGGGTTAGACCAGGTTTACTTTATTTCTTCCTAGATGTCGAGAAAGCCACATAAAAATCAAACCAGCGTTGACATCCTGTGGTAAGAGAGAATCAAGATTATTGACCCTAAATCGACTAATTCTTCATAAGGGTTGCATTAGAGACTAAGCTGATCTGGTCATCGTAGCAATATTATGTTCTAGTATTGAAGCAGCATCGGGTATCGAAATATTTTATAAAAAATGGTGCTCATAACATTAATAAATTTAAATCTAAATGATGAGGGAGGGTCCGTTTTCGCAAATACTAAAGAATGGCATTTTTTGGCTTGAAGACAAAAAGGAACAAGATTGATATTAGATTTATTAGTATGTAACGCTAATGAGCACCGTTCTTTGATGAAATGTTTTTTTAACTGCAAGAATAATCATTACCGCTTTCTCGATGCTGCTTCAATCTTGGAACATAATTTTGTTAGTATGGTCAGCTCACCTTAGTATATAAAGTGCCTCAAGTAATAGCAATAAAAAAGTCCACTAATCTTGATTATTTCGCTATACAGGGTGTCAAAGTCAGACATGAGAACTGGTTCTCATTAAAATGTATACGTTGGCATGATCTTCATGTATGTTACCATTTTGGGAAAATAGTAGGTAGGGTGAAGTGCTTAATTCTGAATGTTCTAAAGCAAACCTGGTCCAAAAAGAGTGATATTTGTCTAAATAGCACGCGATTATCTGAATGCAGGCCAGTATTTCAATACAAAGAATTAGAATAACCAAAATTTCGAAAACAATAAGACTTTTACTGGAACAACGTTTTGCCACATTGTAGGTCGTGACGTGACCTATTTGCACCCTCAGGATTTTCCTTTAATATGTGGACACTCTATATACGTACGAGTACATCTGTCGTAGCCTTAAAAATAAAATGAAATATTTTTTTACTAATCATCAACGGATATGCCTACCTATACGACCAAACTTTTCTGTTACCAGATGACACAAAAATTCCATAATTTCTACAAATTCCTTTCATTTCAGCAAAAAGGTTCACGCATTATGAGCTTATCTGATATAACACCAAATCGCCTTTATATCTATTCAAATTAAGCGACACCTACCGTTTTTGCGTCCTCAGAAGAACGTAATAAAAGTCTTTTAAATAGTCATAAACATCAAATGCTACGATTTCGTTTCCTGTAAGTGGCAGCCTCGTAATGTTTTTTAAAAAGTTTAGCCAATCTAGTCTGATATAAGGATGCTTGATGTCTTTGATTGACATATACATTCTGTCAGTCTTATTGTCACTATAATAGTGTCGGTATATAGTCTGAAAAATAGTATTTTTGTATATTCTGCTCAAATGAACCAAATAAAGATACAATAGTAACTTCAGTAGTTCTACAAATGAATGCAACATATTTTATATTATTGCTTATACAGAGCTGGCCAAAGTCGTTTCCCCTTTTAGATCTCCATATGTACGGGAGAGACAGATAAAGAAAGAGAGAAGCATGCCGCATCATACAACGCGTATGTTAATTAAAGAGAGTGAACGCTATAAGCGTCGTTATCATGTTGCTTGGCAACGACAGTGAAGGAGGAGCTACAGCCGCGCATTACTGTCGCACTCCTTCACATCCCGCTTGTCACTCTTTCTCTCTATCTCTTACACATATAAATCTGTACAAAAACCCCTTTGAACAACAGTGTACGAGCCCCTTCCCACTTCAGTTGGCCCAACTATTGAAATCTTAGTTTTTTCTTATTAAACACAAATAATAAAAATGTAGCAGGTTTAAAATATTAACAATGAATATTTTGATAATATATAGTAGAAAACACCAAGTTTATCACTCCCTAATTAAATTTGCAGCATAAAAATAACACATGTTGCAATTACAGCATATCAACCTATTTTCATTTCAATGCAAAATAAGTCTATAACGCACAGGTGGCTGTGAAAAATAAAAGCCATGACAATTGTTTTTATTAATCACAGCTGTCAGAATACGTTCAAAATAGTTTTGGGTAGTTAAGGCTTTCAAAATGGGTAGAGGAAAGGTTATTAGTGAGAAAATTCGGTTACTGATAATTAATTTTTTTAATTCTGGGAAATCAAACTCAGAAATTGCGACTTTGTTAGACTTATCGCGGTACAGTGTGAGAAATATTGTTAGAACATATAACGTAACTGGTTTAGTTAATATTAAGCCACGATATGTGAAAAAAAGTAATATCATAAATGCCGACTAAAGAGCATTATGAAGAATAATCGTGAAAAACAGGCGTGCCAATTATTTACAATTAAGCGCTCTGTGGAGTGACGATGTTGGAAGGAGAATTTCGAGGTCCACAACTCATAGAGAGGCCCACGAACTGGGATTTAGCACTTGCAATGTAAGTTTTCTTATAAAAAAGAGTGAAGTAAAAACCCTAAAGTTGCACAACTTGTTTATAGGCCAAAGAACAGCCACTATTAACTCCACTGCAAAACAAAAATCGGCTTAGATGGGCTAAAGAATATAGACAATGGACACCTCAACAATGGTGTGCAATACAATGGAATGATGAGGCCCGATTCGAAGTTTGTGTTGGTGACAGTCGCAGTAGAGTTATTCGCAAAAAGATGAAGCATTCCATGTTGACTGTCTGAAGAGAAAAGTGAAATTTCTAGCATCCATTATGGTCTGGGGCAGTATGTCATCAAAAGGAGTAGGAAAACTTCATTTTATTGATGGAAATGTGGATACAAACAAATATTTGGCAATTTTAGAAGAATCGTTTTTACCAGTGATGGAAGAATGTTTGACATCCGGCCAAGATTTTGTGTTTCAGCAAGCGTGCCATACCTTAAAAAACGCTATAAAGTGGATGGAAGAAAATAATGTACCACTTTTGAAATGGGTTTCTAGCAGTCCAGATCTGTCACCTATTGAAACTTTGTGGCACGAGATGAAAAAGGTTCTACGACAACATCCTGCTCATACAATCACCGAATTGAGACAAAAGCTTCAATAAATATAGGATTGTTTTACACCAAATTTTTGCTAAAACTTGGCTAACACTATGCCCCAAACAATTTCAGCCATAATAAAAAATAAAGGTGACGTTACCCAATGGTAATCTTTCAATTGTTGCTTTGTTAACTTCGCGCATTTATTCGCGCATTGTTTATTTGTTCAGATGTTCTATTAGTTATAGGTTTATGTGATTTCAAATATGTATTTTTTACGACTAGAGTGTATGTAAAATGTTTTTGAGAAAATAAATTGTTTTAGAAGTAAATTTTTTTGTCATGTTTAGTTTATAAAGGCATATTTTGGTACAAATCTTTAAGTGGGCCAACTGAAGTGGGAAGGGGCTCGTATGTAAGATAACGGCGTCATATGTAACATAACTCCATGAGAGCTGCCGAGTGCAATTTTTTTCCACATTGCTCATCGGAACTAACAGTTCTATGTGTACTACTCACTTCATTTAGTGCTCTAGCAAACTCGAACGTTTGAGCGAATTCGCTTGCTATTGTAACACTATTTGGATTCATATAGTTAGCTATTTCTTCCATAGGTTTCAAGTTTTCCTTTTCCCACATGAAATAGTCGACATACTGTACATCAGGAGGATACCTGGGAGGATATATCTGCAAGATTGATAGAAAAGCATTAGATTGTGAATGGTCTACCTGGTAAAAAACAAACAAAGTCCGTGCAAAATGATATCGCCAAGTTCTGTGGTACGCATCCACTGAGCTGCATCAGACGCACGCATATGAGTGCCGATTATGAGGGATGAAAAAAAATCTTTCTACATAAATTATCATTGATCCTTCAAGAATTCAGTCTAGTCATTGAAACCGCCCTTAGATTCCCTGTATCATGATTGGTTCCTGAGATGTCGATGATCAAAGCCAGAACAGTCCTTCATCATTCAAAATTTTGATATATCAGCAAGAAATGGCCGTATCGAGGTTTTTATTAAAGAAAACAAAAGCGAAATCAACAGTCTATAGTCCGTCAACACAGATAAAGATATGAAAAATGTCATCGCACGTTTCCCTATAATTGTTCTTTGTCTACAAGATGCGAAAGGTGGACAGGTTTAAAACGCTACTGTTAGAATCTCGATATCACAATTTTCTACTGAGATAGAGCACTGCAAGGAATCACAATTCAAGTCAATAGATTAGTTTGCCCACAGATGCTGGCGGTGTCGCCATGGTGTCTCTGTGAAGAACACCAGTAAGACTGGAATAGTAAATCGAAGGTTATTTATCCAGAGATATACAGTAAAATTTGCTTACATTTTTGGGCGCCGCTTCCAATGTGTACGAGAGAGACAGAAGTGTGCACGACACCACGCAACACGTATGCTAGAGTACGCCCCACAAGCATGCGTTAGTGTGAGGGGATTGGAGAGAGGCTGCAATTTGTCGCGTTGCCTTTTTCTTGAATCAAGGTGCATGGTGGAAATACGCTTTAGTTTGTTTGTTACGGCCAAGTAACGGTTTTATTTTGAGCGTACACATTTCTGAATTGCGAATTGGATCGCCACAAATTATATGTGTGTAATCCAAATTCGACTTAATTTTGTAGAAAAGTCAAAAAATAAATATTGCTGTCATAACCACCATCCAGACGCCTCAGATTTCCCATGTCACTAAAAGAGTAAGCAAAGCAACAACCATCAATCCCCCTCCGACTCTAAAAATATCCGATACAGAAATGTGTACGCCTAAAACAAAAACATTATTTGGGCGTAGAAAACACTAACTTGTTTGTTTCCACCGCACATCATAATTCAAAAAAATGGTGTCACGTTTGGCAGCTAGGCAAATTACAGCCGCGCTCAGTGCCCTTCCCCTCCCACTGCCTCATGCTGGCTGATAGAGCGCACTCTTTCTAATTGCATGGTGTTTCACGCTCCCGTCTCGCAAAAATTGAAAGCGGTGCCCAAAATCGTAAATAAATTTCACAATAGATACCTTACCCATAGAACTGTCCTGTCATCAAACGAGTATGGTTGCACTTTAAGAAAGAATTCGTAAAAAACTCCTGCTTCTCTTGCATTTACTACTGCTTTATGCCATTCAAATTGATCAGCTACCCAATAGCTTTTTATTAGTGGCCAACCTCCTATGACTTCCTCCAGTATATTCAAGACCGCCTTCTCATTTTCTTGATTGATTTTTGTTTTGTTTATACAAGACCTTTGGAAAGGCAAAATTGTATTATTATGAAGCAAAAACCTAAGGGACTGATTTACACTTGATATTATATAAAAATTAAATGATGTTATTTTTTAAACTACTTCGTGTTACCTTTATTAGATATTCCACAACTATAGTTATTTTTTATTTAAGCCACGCTCAAAGCTTTACCTTTCGTGTCTTATTCATTCATTCATCAAACATTTTTTTTACAATGTATGATATTTTTTACATAACGATGAATAAATATGTGGATATTTATAAAAGTAGCTAATATCCTCTTTATAGAAACGAAAAGAGCTTACGGTATTTCAAATGACTTTACATCAGCCACTACGGATTAGAGTCAACTGTGTGCCAAAAAAAGATGACAGTATATTGAGAAGCATTCAATCGAAAAGAATTCCGGAGGATTTTTTTCGTACCTGTAAAACTTCCTCTGCCATACTACAGTTTTTGTCAAATTCGATTCATCATAATCTCCTAGAACAATGTTTTTAAGTTGTTGGTCTGTTAGTTTCATTTGATCATGTAAAGCCTGATCTCTTCCCGTTATTATTGAGTTTTTCAGAAATGTACCGCATGTATAGTTGTAGAAGTCTTCACATGGGTTCTTAGTTGTGTCTATGGTTTCCAAAAGCTGTAGGGTACTTTGTATACAGCCTGGGGTCTCACAAATATCGCTACCTAGAATAAAACGAGCTTTGAAAATTTCTGGCACACGCTGTCACTAATTCACTAAGGATTATATTCGGCACAAGTTAGTTGTTCTTACAAAAAGCTACCTATGAATATGTATAACAAAGGAATTAAATGTATTATGTCAAACAGAATTATACAGTCAGTCCATAGTCCATACAAATTTGACAACATTGCGATCAGGCCTACCTCTCTACCGACGGTACTGATGACTCGCCTGCCAGTGCACTCGTAAACCCAGCACATCTTTGTATAAACGGATACACGCATCAACGCCCGGCACGCATATATCGAAAGTATACCTTTTTAATTTTAACGGCAAATGTACGTTGAAATCTATGATGCATGAAATATGTCTAATTTAAAACACATTAACTGTCCATATGCAAATTAGTAACTCCACCCATACGTCCACCATTAAATATGGCATGCTCCATATGTGGTTCATGGGACGTTATCCTAATATTGAGATTATGATAACGTCCCATGCGCCTCATATGGCTCATGCGCATTAGACCAAAAAGTAAAAAGAAGACGATTTTAACTTAACCTCAAATTATTTATTTACTTGGTGAACCTAGTAGTTTTCTTAGTGAACTAAAAATGTCTGAAAATAGAAAAAACTCACTGATAAGGAGCTAGAGTATTATGCAAACCACTTATCAGAAATAAGTGATGGATCAGTGGATTTCGATTCCGATGATAGCATTGCCGATCCAGACTTTTGCAGCGGCAGTGAAATTTCGAGTGAGCAGTCTGAGAGTGATCAGGAGATTGATTCAGATAGTGATGATATTGGGTTTGCTGAGTTCATTCATCAGAATGAAGAAGATTTGAGCTTATTTTGGTCGGATTGTGTTTTGCAGTTTAAAAAATTTCAGTTCACAGGAACCCAAGGAACATTAATTCCAATTGAAGGCAAAGATGTACGAGATATATATAGGTTATTTCTGACAGATGAAATAGTACAACTTATGGTCCAGCAAACCAATGTGCGTGCACGTGAAATAATAGCAAATAAGAAACCACGAACATCTTCCCGCTTTTCCAGATGGCATGACACCAATGAAGATGAAATGGAATTGTTTATTGGTGAGTGATTACTATGTATTTTGGTTTACATCAACAATGTAATATTTTGGGTTTTTTTGACCTGAATTAGCGGTCTCTGGTTCATAACGTCTATGTGTATGTTTGACCGCCTTACAATATGTTTGACTGCCTTACAATAGCCCCTACACCGATAAACAAAAAGCTTCTTTTTTACAGTTTCATTAAAATTTGCTCACAAAGATTGTGATCTTTTACGAACATATTGTTTTATATAGCCTAATTTTACGTTTATTTTGTTTGTAATTTCTTTGTTTTTCTTTTCAGGAGTCATCATGCTAATGGGAGTTATCAATTTTCCAACCATTGAGAGCTACTGGAAAAAAGATTCAATTTATTACCACGAAATATTTCACAAAATACCAATCAGCTACAATCGATTTACACTACTCCTCAAATGCTGGCATTTTCAGGACAATACACTTCCGTCCACCAGTAGGCTGGATAAAATAAATCCAATATTGAGCATCATTCAAAACAACATAAAAACTGTTTATTGTCCTGGTGATACTGTGGTGGTAGACGAAACAATGGTGCCTTTTCGCGGACGTCTAAAATTCAGACAATATAATCCTTCCAAAGCTCGCTGCTCTTATGGAATCAAGTTGTACAAGGTATGTACTCCAAATGGGTATACCTGGCATCTAAAAATATATGACGGTGTATCAACCGCCATTGATGGGCTTCATTTACCAGGAAGCACTGTAGTGGAATTAGTGAGACCTCTTTTAAATGAAGGCAGAATGGTAATTACTGATAACTACTACACTAGCCTGCAACTTGCAAAATATCTCTATGATCGAAACACCCACCTATTGGGAACATTACGCAAAAATAGGCGTGGTCTGCCAGAAGAAGTAATTATACACAACTTACGCAAGGGCGAAATAATCTCAAGACAAAATGGCTGTATTACTGTTTCAAAATGGAAAGACCAGCGTGACGTTCTTTTTCTCTCAACTGTTCATGATGATGAAATGAAAACTTGTGGAAAAAAAAGAAATGGCGAAGATAAGATTAAACCTTCTGCCATTTTGGACTGGAATAAAGGAAAACAAGGGGTGGATATATCTGATCAGTTTGCCAGCTACTACACTTGTCTGAGAAATTCATTGACATGGTATAAAAAACTCGCCATAGAGATTATTTGTGGAACACTCGTTGTAAACACTCTGATTATATATAATGAACAACGTCCAAAAAAAGAACAAGTATCTCTTTTGCAAATCAGACAATCCCTAATAAGCGAGATGTTAAAAAGAAAATCTAATAACGATGGCGGTTCTGGAGGCAAGACCAAAAAAACTATTCACATACTAGAAGAACTGCCTAGAGATAATAACAAACTCTACAGAAAGCGTTGCCACGGATGCTATGGGAAACTGCGCGGAAACAATTCGGCATCAGAATCTGCAAAAAAAGCTAAGAGGGTCAACACTATCTGCAAATCCTGCAATCAAGCATTTTGCGTGCCTTGCTTTGGAGAAAACCATTAGATATATGTTAGTAATGTACGTTTTTACCTATTAAACCGAAAAAAATAAAAAGTTTATAAAATCTTTATTTTTCATTCGATTTTAATAATTTTTTTTTAAAGTGTCGAGTAAGGAATACTCTAACGCCCACATACAAAAAATGTGTGCGTACTACCACGTCCAACTTATAAAAGTTGTATGAATTTATGTACCACATAGGGCTCATGGACGCATGGAGAATATGGTCCATGAGCCATATGTGGCTCATTGGACAGTCAATGTGTTAAAAGAAATTGGAGCTGGAATAACAAAAATCACCTATAACCCCACTCCCACAACACCCAACATCTGAACTCCTGCATTTTTTTTTTCTGGAAATGATCCGATTGATTCCGATTTTTCAAAACTACAAAGGTTTCTCGCCCCTGGAAGGGTTGTATCCGTGTGAAAAGATTTCATCAGATTCCGATACCTTCTCGCCAGCGGCGTAGGAAATAAAACTCACAAAAATCGTTAGAATAGTGTAAGGTAATGGCAAATCTTCTAAAATGAGACAAACATCTTCGGGCAATGGGTATTTTCAGCAGTCTAATAACTGATTTACCATTTCATCAATCTCACGTTCGTTGATTATGTATACTTACATTAATGTGGATTTTTAGAAATGCTAATAAACATTGGCGAAAAAATTGTCACATTTTTTGTTGATACTTTCAAAAATTGCCAATATTCAAGCATATATCCTTTTACTTCTACTTGTTAGCACCAGCAAAAACTTACCTTTAGTTAAAGTAACCACAAACAACACCAGCACCACCAAACTCAACAAACACACCGTAAATATGAGCCTTTTCTCTAACTTAGTGGTGATCTTACGGTTAAGATACCCTTTCAGACTCATCTTGAGGCGCACTTACACATCAAAGCAAAAGATCTTCACTGGCTCAAACTCTGTTGAGATACCCTTTGGAAACCATCGCGAACTGACAAGCCACCAACGCAAAAGGTCTAGTAGCGGTGTTAACTTGGTCAAATTCTATCATTTCTAATTAGAAAAGTTAAATTACGTTAAAAGTCCTAGTTATAATGGGATAAGAGCATGACTATGTGTTTTGATCGCGTGTTAGCGCTGCAAGTGTTTTAATTGAACATACTACTAGGGCACGGAGTTCAGTGGCGCACTATCGTTGTCCCAAATAGAATATCTGTGATAAAGTTGAATTCAAAACACAAGAAAACAATAAAACCAAACATTTTTTTTTCATGCAAAGGTAAGTGCGGGCCATGGAAGACCATGCTCTTGGTAAGACCAATTATTAAAAATTAGCTATTGTCATGCGATGCCAAATTCCTTCTACCCTCACATCCATCGAACTCAAGGACACAAACGCGACAACCAGTCGCTCGAGTCGTTATTTTATCAGTCCATAAGAACGCCACTTTTGTCGGTTTCAATTGTTATTCAATCAAAATTATTCAGATTCTTGGCAACTTATTTCAATCGATATGAAACACATCAAATTATTATGAAAGTAATTTCACGAACACATTCTTGGGTTTACAATAACGCTGAAGTAATAGACCAGGCGTAAGATGGAATTGGGTGTGCAGATTGTGAGGACGCATTTTATGAGCAGATATTACCGGAATAATCCGGATCTTGTCGGGTTATTATTAAAGGTGTTTAGTAACTTTTCTCTAAAATTAGTCAATGTGACCTCGAAGTATATTTCAAGATTAATTCATTTCAAATCGATTTTTAAAGTAAATTGTTAGGCTACAATTGGCGACCTTTTAAGTTTGTTTCAAATGTGCATACGTATTCTACTTCAAGATAGTCGACTTAATGATCCGACCCAAATAATATCCGAGGTAAAATGAGGTAATGTACCGTCATCAAGAGAATTTGTTGAAACTGTTTCTATACTTACTATATTCTCGTATACTTCACAGGTATATCTGAGTGTTTCGTTGATGGCGCCACCTATATGCAGCATTAAGTGGCTCAAGCACCATCTGCGAGACACTAACAGTTTTCAAAATAAATATAGTGAATAGAGAAATAGCTGAGACAAGTTTTCATAGATGATGCTTTGTTATCTCATTTTAGCTCGTATAATTTTTTGTATGCATTATGCTAGCTATCGTCAGGTAATATACGTTAATCACTTGTCAAGTCATTGAAAGATAGTATCGGTGTTTTTCATTCTATAATCTTCGTGAGGTCCTAGACCTCATTTTAGAGTCTAGTACTAAGAGTGAGTGTTGACTATCTCTAAATTTTATGCCAAAGCAGCCGCATAGGCAAAAGCCGAGGCACCGTGGCTGCTGGACCTTAAAGACCCCTTGTTCACCCGATTTCCGAACTGCCCAAGGTTATTCGAATTGAGAAAACCCTCGTCAGATAGATTGCTCCACAATCTCGACACTATTGGGACAAACGAGCGGTCGTACCGGCCGGTTATGGAAGTTCCACACGATTGAGATGGGAGGCTGTAGACAGGCGTATCTATTTAGCAGGCTCATCGCGCAGCGGCATCATGAGGAGCAAAGCCTGTTGACAGAGCGGTATAGGAGAGCCATACCGACGACGTCGCGTCGGTGTAAAAGGGTGCATTAGATAAGAGAATCGGGTAGAGGCACTACACCAATCGTGTGAACATTACTCGAGACAAGGACTTATTGGGGCATTGTACAGAGAGAGGAGCTGCAGTGTTCATGTCGGAAAAATTCTTCGGTGATCTGGAATCCGACCAGCCGAAATTAACGGCTCACATATGTCATTGCAAGGCACTGTTGTACTAGAGACACCGTACTAAAGTCCAATATTTTAAATACCCAGGATGTCAAGGAGATGTAACTCAAGGCTGGATACTTAATTCGTTCGCAGGGCGCATCTTGGGACCCAGCATTTATAGTGACGCAATGCCTTCATTTCCTCTCTCAATATGAGGTACGCCTCTGCTAAAGTGGCATGCTCCTATCCTCTTAGTGTAATTTGGCTTAATTGTTATATCATAGGATAATTGTTCATGATTCATGGGGCAGGCGGATTATTTTTGGGATTGCTAGGCGTTAGATTCAGTGAGGGATCACTTTTGGTTGGCGAATAGGCTTCAGCATTGTTTGATGTAAAAAGATTCTCGATATGCTCAAAATACACAACTGTGTAATATTTTTTAAACGTCCTTCTTTTATTGCCGAGAAAGCTTCAACCACTTGATTTTGAATTATCTTCCCAGCCGGACAGCTAGAACAAAACAGTTTACAAATATAGTGTTTTTCAAAAGCGTCCCACTCCTCAATAATTTTTTACATGCCACGCGAACTCGCGAGGGACTATTGTAATCGAAAAAAAATTTGAAATTAAGATATTATGTATTTTGGATATTATATGACATGTTTGTGTTGGCGAAAAACTAGGTCACTTGTTTCCGTCGATCTGTGTGTCCACAAATCTTTGGCCCGTATATAACTTGGAAAGTACCGCTCCGATTTGGATAAAATTATCACACAAGGTTACTACTTCCCAGGACGAAAAAGCTTTGTCATTTTTGAAAATCTGTCCAGTGACAGCGTAGAAAGGAAAAACGAATAAGGTACATTAAAATCGCTCGAATTTCTTTTTTTGACCTTTCAGAGGCTCCTGATCATTTTCGGAAAAAAGTTTGTAGGGGTAAAAAATTGGGGGTTAGAGGTTACAAGAGAGAACGTGTGTCTCAATTTTTTGATGTTGGTTTATTTATACGGCTCGAACCCCAGTAATTCGGCGCACTCGTATAAGACATATTTCTTAGAAATATCTCCAATAGTCGCGTGTCGATACGTGTCGCGTGGAATTCGGCGTAATGAAACTGTTGCGTGAATCTTACATTTTAGGGTAAAAATCGCTGTTGAGAAATTCAATATGGCAAATGAGGTTATTTGCTTATTTTTTAAACTTGAACCACCACGAAGGCCTAAGGCGGTTCTGTACACTGAATTACTTCTATGTCAATAATCAATCATCAAAACCCTATGTATGTTATTTCAATGTTTTTCTCTTATAAATACCTATATATGCAATAAATTATAAAACTGGACTACAATGTTCTAAAACATTTGGTCTCGGAAATATTTCTCCAAGGATTCCAAATATTTTCAGCAACTAACTAATTTGGTTTGGTATTCTCTTGGTTGGTGCTCGCTATCCTAAGCTATCACATCACCTTCCCATTCTATCAGAAATGTTCCATGATGGCCCTCAACCGCCATGCGCCGCCTCGAAATTTTCAACCTTCAGTCTTACACCAAACATGATGCTTTTGTCCGTCCGACTAAAAAGTCAACCAACCATGGATAGCTGTTTTGTGCTTCTTGGCTACTCATCAGCATGTTCTAGGTCTTAGTTTCTTGTCTCTGGACGATCAAAGGAAAACATCATAGATCGCGTTTTGCGAAGTCGTATTTCGTCAGTCTTACGTTAAAATTTAGTTTTCATCCAGAATTTCAGCTTGCTAAGTTGACCGGCAAGGTTATTACAGAAAAAACTATATAATGTCAAAAAGATCGGTAAAATGTCAACTAGTTGACTAGATAGCGCCGCTAGTGTGTCTGCACCGACTACAAGTGAGCCAGGCTAAAGTGGATGTCAGCTAGTTCAAAGGTGACATTTTATAGTAAAACCTACATATGTATAATCTTGTAACTCAGACAACTGTGTTGTAGAAGTCATGTTCTGATTTGTCTGCTGTGAAGACTTTTATTCAGATTTTCTGGGAAAGATATTTAATTTGAGTTCAGCTTGATCCGCCATGGATGTTCCTTCAACACATAAATGCAGTATATATACCCTCCACACACCATGAGAGAGGTAATCTTCACACATGGTTTCAACATGATCTCTGCCATGGCACTGAAGGAATAATAACGAGCAATTCCACGCGTCATGGGCTGATAATCAAATGACATTGCATTGTTCGTTCTAACACCACGTAACTTAAAAAATTAAGACATGCAGGATATGGAATTATATCTTTGAAGCTTCGTAAGAAAAGACCACATCATTGGGATGTGTTACGCATCAAGACATGGTTACCCAGTCCATTGAGAGTGAAATAGCTCAACTAATCATCAGCTTCAGTTTTTGACTATCAGGTTGACATTACCGTAGAATTACTCTAAAGTACAAAAAAAACATATTTCAGAGCTGAAATTGCTCTGGAGACACGGTAATTCAAACAAATTGGCATATGCATAAAATACAATAACACGTCTTAATTTTATCAATAACTCCAGAAGCGAACAATTTTCGAAAAAGTAAAAAAACCTGGTACCTGCATCATCTCGTCAGGCTCATTACAGCAGGTTACCAGCCTGCACCTTGCTGGGCAATTAGGATTACTAAGGATAAATCATTAGTTGGTGTATGTATAATAAACGGATGGAAGCTATTACGACGGCCTGTGCTCCGCTGTTTCCACGAAGAAATTGATGTCTATGCACGACCCATGTTCATTAGTATGGTCGCTGTGAAGTGGATTATGAATTTATAAGGAGCAAACTACGTTAAGTCAATTTTTGCCTAAAATGGGTTTTATAGGTATGTTAAGCCAGATATTCTCAACCTTATTTCGTCTACTGCCCACATTAAGAATCAATGATTTTCTAGCAGAGTCAAAATTACTTTAATTTAGATATATGAGTCTAACCAATGCATCTAAACTCACCCCCCCCCTCCCAACCGGGTCGTCGTCCCTCAAAAATCAATTTTGTCTAGGATCCTTACCCCTCATCGCCCAGCAGACAGTGCTTCAAGGACCAAAAAAGCTGGCCAGAAATCAAAATACATTTGTAACACGTTTAACTCCAGATTTTCTTCGTAATTATAGGTATGCATAATTCTTCTTTTGATAACAATTTACTCTGAAAGCAGAATGATCGTGGAATGGATGTCTATCGCTTCAATTTTTTCTGTAATTCCATAGCGAATTCAAAAATAGCCTAGAAAAAATGTCTAATAGTTTCCGCCCTGTTTCGAATAGTAGCATCTTTACAGGCACCTACTTAAGAACGATATCAATTTTGGCTACAGCTGACTGCAATTTTAGCATTATTCAACAATTAGCAAAATTCCTACAGTGAAAACGTGGAAAACACAACTGAGCGCAATTGAGACATTTTTTACATCCTCGTATATGTTCGCCATATTGTACCCGCCATTAAATTTTTTGGGAAGCCGATAATAAATTCGTTATAAGTGACCCTTAAAAAATACTCAACTCAAATTCAATATCAAAAAATTAATATCTAATTCGTTACTTCAAGAACATCAAAACTCGAATTTGAGCGTATCCAAAGATTTTTTTCAAACTTCCGTCATACTGCGTTCACCATTTTGATTTTTTGCCATGTTTTAGAACTTTCGAAACTGTGAGGCGCTCACAAGTAGGCGTTATTGCCCACTTTAAGAAAGACGGTCTTATGTCCATTGTGAACTTTGATTTGCTACTTGCAGCGTCCAGCTAACTGTAATAATAAGGAATAGGTCATGTCAAATCTAACGGTGTCTCGGAGCCACACTATGTAAATGCTTTTGGCAAACCACTTGAGATATTCAGGTACTTACGTTTCAGAAGAGCTTTACATGTTACATTGATCAGTATTACGAAAGGGAATTGGGATAGTAGGAAAAAAATGTGTCTATGATTCTAGAACATGGCTATGAGCATACTTTGGACCTATTGTTTGCTATATTTTATATGTCGATAGAAATTAAACTTGAGTTGGCGCTTTTCCATTACTCAATCTCATACACCATGTACAAGTAACATTTAATAGCGCCTATATACAGAGATAATTCCGTGGTAACTAAACAAGTTAGTTGCAAAAATTGTAGCCACCGACTGTACCCTAAGAAATTCGGCCTTTTGTAGAGTAAAGTCTTATTTTAATCTTTCGTATAGTTGGATACCAAAATACAGGGTGGGCCAGAAAAACGTACGAATTTCAAAACCGCATTGCTCGTGACAGGTACGCGGGGGCGGGACACGGGTAGTGAGGATAAGTAGCTTGGTGCTTGGAAATTTAGTACCCATGGAGTGTTTCACCGGTCAGCAGCGTGCGTTCTGTATTAAGGATTACTACGAAACAATGTTAGAGCGATTTCCAAGTTTGAAAGATATTCTCTTCAGTCATCGGACCCTATTTCTTCGAAAACAAGCAACGCCAGACTGTAACAGTAAATTCTAATTGCTACACAGCAATGCTACGTAAGTTTTTCTTTCCACGCCTGCATCATTTCGAATCCTACCATAGCAGGACCTGGTTTCAACGACATAGCGCGACATCCCATACCGCCAACGAGTCTTTAGCAGTTGTAAACGAAATGTTTAGTGGAAAACTGATATCGCGAAGATAGGACATTCAGTGGCCTCCCTGGAGCGCAGATCTCTTGCCTCTGGATTTTTTTCTCTGGAGATACCTCAAGAGCCACGTTTACGCTAATAAACCGACTACGATTACCCAGCTCAAAACCAACATTCGCAAGGAGATGTCCCCTATCCCACAAGCGATTTTCCAGCGAGTTTTCACGAATTTGTAGTCGAAATTCGAGGATTGCGTACGTCTCGATGACCCACATCTCAATGATGTTATTTAAAAAAAAATCCCATGTGTCTATTTTATTAAAAATATAAATTATCTTCCCACGCTTTATAGTTTTTTTCTATGATTGTTTTATATTCGTTTCACTTAATAGCCCACCCTGTATAAGAGAGTAGGTTACCACATCGTACGCTACTGCTAACGCGGCGTGCCTTTGATTGAGAACTTAAACTCAACCTTATTGCAGACTTAGATAGATATGCTCATTCAAACGAAATAATTCGATATAACGTGCTATACCGTTTTATTTCGGAATTGTTGAGATATTGGGCAATGGATCGCAAAAAACACTCAGCTTTGGCAACTCCGCAACTGTTTTGACCAGACTACTTTGTCAATAAAAATCATGATCCCATGTTTTCTCCTTATTCTGTTTCAGTTTTCTGTATAGCTTATGCAGCTCAGGAATGCAAAATGTCTCAAAATTTTCAAATCATTTCATTTTAATAATACGATAACCGTACTATAAGGAATTAATGTGTATGCAGAGTCGATGTAGCTATATGTATGCGGCGAGCACCTATTAAACGCTAATTCTTTGTACTTATTTCCATTTAGACGCTCTTAATGATATGTCGTACGGCGGATCAAAGTTCTTCCTCTTGATTTCCTACCAACTGTTGTTTAAACGCGCATCGTTAATGGGTCTATCAATTCTATGAATGACAAATGAGATGGGAAATTTGTAAACATGTGTGCCTTCTGGCAACAGCGACCAATAATGAATTTAATCTTATCAGGAGTAGGCTATTTTTCAACATTACCGGCATTTTGAAGAGTATTCAAAGTGCTAAGCATATCCAGATTTTGAAAGACATACAGGTCTTAACATAACTTTATTCTATTCTATGCTATTCACATTAGCTCTATACGTACAGCTGTCACCAATCTGTCAGTGATCGTGTCCAAGGCCCCGCCTCACAAATTCCGTTCATTAAGCTACGCTATTTAGACAGAATTTACACGACCGGATCCTAGACACAGTCGCCAGCAAGTCACTGACCACTGTACGAACAAACCAACAATGTCACTCATTTTATTGCAACAAAAGGTGTCGTTATGCTTAAGCCAGATAGTTAAAAGGTGCCTCTTGTGATTTTTCGTTCAGGTTCACCGCTTTCGAAAGAAAAACATATTTTGTTAGTCTTTTTATTGATACTAAACGATGGAGGGACATTTTTTAAGCAGAAGCAATAAATAGGCTCTGAAAAACGGCACTTGTTTTGCTAAAACCAGTAACGTACACTTTTTCAATGATATACAAGTCTAAATCTATATCGATATCGTCGAAACAACGAATTTCGAAGCATTGTTTGAAATAATTTTTCTAATATTTCAACATACTGTAGCGACCTGTAAAAAATAGTATGTTTTCAGAAAAAAAATCACCGACAGATCGCTAGTCACTTCATTGTAAAGTCATTTAGAAAAAACACATATTTAAATGCGTCCATCGCATTATTTTTTCGTATTCCACATGGATCAGTGATACTTCCTAGACATTTTAAGACTTATCCAAGATTTCGAAACAACATGAACCCGATAGGTGCTCAGGAATTAGGATTGGACTATAGCAAAGTATTCTGAATCAACGAATTAAAAATTTCGAAATAGCGTTCTAGCATTTCTTCTTTTTTTCAGATCGGTGTACCGCAGCTGTCCTCCGATGTCCTCCTCGTCCTCAAACACCCCTCACCACCACATGCAGCACCCCCACCATGACCTTTTACCCCCGCCACCATCTCCTCCCCCTCCTACGCATCTGATGCCGGGGTGCAAACCTCCTCTACCCCCTCCTCCTGTATTGGACCCATTAATGGGCAAATCATCTCCCTTCGCGCCCTCAAGCACCATGGGAGGTGGTGGGGATGCCCACAGGCATTCGCAGAGCGATGACGATTCAGGATGTGCCTTGGAGGAGTATACTTGGGTGCCACCTGGGCTGAGGCCAGATCAGGTAAGTGAAATGGCTACATTATATCAATGATTAACGTAAAGATAGCTAGCCTAATGGTATATCTATGAGAAACTAACCTTTTCAAAGTGTACATAGTAAGAGAGAAACAGCTGTGACAGATTCTCATACGGTATCTCATTTTATTACGAACAATTTTACTGACGCGGAAGTATAGCATCAGCGTCACAGAGAAATAGTTATTCATTATCGGAATCTTCATTCCCAAACCTGTTGAGTTTCTTGGGGACACCTGAAGGAGTATGGCTGGTATAGGATGATCAAAAACTCTTGTAATGGCAAGATAATCAAGAATATTCAATGGGTATGGTAAAATAGTAAGGATTCAGTATGTGACCTTGAGCATGACCTTGAAGTTCAACTGAAGACCAATACGATTTTGAAATGAAACCTTACTCTTTTAATCTTTGGAAGCAGAGTGTTCTGACATGTCTTTGGGTGAACATTATTTTCATTTTGAATGTCCTGGTCAACGTCATCGTAAAAAACTCTCAAATGAAAAGACTTCCGGATTATTTCGGAAGATAAAGTAATGGTATCAAAACGCAGCGCGCGCTTCCATTTCTTTTCTAGCTATTCACTGATGACCTTGAAACTGAGCTTTACCATGAACTTGACGGCCAAATCAACGTCAATATAATGCTCCTAAATATACTGAGTGACAATAAAAGGTCAACACCTACGTATGTTTATTAGAGTTAAAAATTTTCTTATATATCGATTTATCTTGCAATCAACAAGTGATGAAATGGTCAGGTTTTTCTGTTAAGTTTTTATGGCGGCTGCTTGTATTGTTTCGTGATAAAGAAGCATCCAGTTTTCGTACATTTACGGTGTCAGTTGAATGTTAAATTTCATGAAGCTTATTGAGAAGCCTTTCTGTGATTGCTCAAAATGCCTAGAGTTCATAGAATTTGCCGGGTGCCCCAGCTAAGTGACTTTCAGAGGGGTGGAATTGTCGGATTGCGTGAAGTCGGTCTATCGATAAGTTTCTAGAAGGACCAACAGATCCTTACGCAGTATACTGCAATCATTTTACTAGTAAGATACACTGAACATATATGCCAAAAATTGTTAAAATCGGATAAACATACGTAGATGTTTACCTTTTTTGTCTCTCAGTATAGTACTCTACTTTTGATCCCTGAAATAGAACGGAAAAGCTTACGCTTACCTTAGGTGAAAATTCGGTTAACTTTGAACGTCACCGTAAAAACATCACTAGACAAAGTGTCAGGGATAGTTCAGAAGATAAAAGAAAAACAAAGTCTTCAAGGCAGCTTCAGTCTATCCACTGATGACCTTGAAAGTGACCTTTCCATCATTTGTAGAACCTTGGCCGCCGCCTAGTAATGGTAGCGAGGTTTCCTCCAAGCCTAGTAACCAAATGACGTCATGGAAAGAAGAGAAAATGAACATCAACAAGTCTTCTAGTAGATATTGGGACTAAACAGATTTGGGTAGTTCGGCATGCGAGATTGATTAATAGACATTCAAGATGTTGGACACGGAGCAGGACTGAGCCAACTTTATGTTTGTCCATTTTCCAGAAAATTGTATACTGAGCGTTCGAATATTTCACACGGCGGTCGTAACTTTTCGCAGCCAGACTGTTTTAATGAAGCGAAATGAAGGAAATTGTCTTTTTTTCATGGGAATTATGGCGGCAATAATCATAAATCGTCAATAAATCCAGTGGTTAGTCGGCCTGCAAGACGCTAAAGCGTAATTTTGTAAACCACCGTGTCGTAATTTTAATGATTTAAGTTCTCTAGTTTTTTTGTTAATTATTCTAAGCCTTCACCGGTCTTAGCTGGATGTGGGCATGTTTATAACTCCAGTCGGTACCATTTGGAAAAACAACACAATGGCTGTAGCATTCTGAGAAGAAATTGATAAATTGATTTAAAATTAACATTACAAATGATTATCATTTGTTCCAAACGGTATGATCCTGAGATATTTGAAATACGAGTAAGATGCACGAGGGTACCAAAAAGTGTAAATAAGTCCAGGAACTTGTACGGTTTATTCATGCCATTCAGTGAAAATATTGAACACGGGTTTTTACACTTGTGTAATGATTTTAGCTTTAGTAGCGTTGCGACTAGGCTGTGTTATCTGAGAAAATATCTCTGTAATGGGAAACTAAAGTATCAGATTCCCTGTTGAGGATGTGAACGGAAAGATAAGACAGTCAAGCACCTGCTTTGAGATTGCCAAGATGTCCTAAAAGTACGAGAATTCACTCTGGATAAGCTCTGATTTGCAATAGGATTCTGGATCTCAATGCCATTCACAAGAATTCTACGATGGGTACCAACGACCAATAGTTTGAAGGGAAAGTTTGCAGGGGTACTGTTCTTGAGAAAAACTTCTACATTCATCAATTTACGAATTATCAATATCCAAAATTTGCCTCCTCCCCTTCAGCTTTCAAAACTTCACTCTGTTTCGACTCCTCTGTCGATCCCTCTTTTATAGTCCTCCGCGACTTAGTGGTCGATTTTTTCTGACTGTAACAATGACAAAGTCCATATGTTTAATGGCAAATGGGCTCGTTGTCCACACACATTTTTTTAAGATTTTTTTGAACCTGGTATAGTTATAGTCACCGTTCTTGGCGGGCCAAAGTAAAGCTACCAGTATCCCTTTATATATCTCCCTCATACATACACATGCAACCTACCCTCGTGTGTGGACGTTTGTTCGGTAAGCTCAGACATACGTTTTTTAGTTGTGTCTCTGTCTCGGAAACTTTTTCGTTACGTATGAGTGTCCTTCAATCATATTTGCAGAGTGACTACTTTCTTGACATCCAGGGACAATGTTAGTTGTCCTGTTATCAATCTTCAATACAAAATTGTACAATGCCCGGAAATATGATCAATGGAGAAGGCCGACAACTTGCTAAATTTACTTCCAGGTTTTATGAGGATAAGGAATGTTCGAAATTAGGGTGTTAAAACCTTTTTCCAAAGAATATATTGACTGAGAAAGTAGTATATATCTATCTGTAACTATTCCATATACAGGGTGATTCACAAGTCGTGACCAAAAATGAAACATCACACACAGGACCGCATTTTAAGGGAGGTCTTCCATGTAACTTTTTTCCTCATTAAAAAGATACGAGGTGTTGAAGTTTAAAAATAAAAAAATTTGGCATGTGGATTTACTCAAGTATTGTCCATATTCGAAAGTCTTTATTTGAAATTAAGTGGCGGGGCACAGGGGATTATTGGTATTATTTTTTCAAATAAAAATATTGCTCCACTGTTTACTTACGAAACGCGCAATTTTTCGAATTTTACCTTCAATTTGCTTTTTCCTAGAGAGCATTGTTCTCGTTAAAATAAAAAAAAAATTTCAAAGCTATAATTCAATAACTGTTCAAAAATACCACCATTCAGGTGGATACAAGTGCAGCATCTTTTTAATAAAGAAAAATGTATACTAAGTGACATATAAATCCGAACACCCAGTTCAAGTGGTTTTATTTTAATAAAATTTTGTATAAGTATCTACTTAATGAAACATAATAAGTAAATGATAAAAATTTCAAAATGATTGCACTGCTTTAAAGCCCTTTGACCTCTAATAATGTGTGGATGCACCCTGATGTGCTACGCATTCTCCAACGCGCCTAGGCATGCTTCTGATCAGGTGGTCAATGTCCTCCTGTGGTATCTCATTCCAGGCAACCACCAACTCCTCTCGAAGTGCTTCTAGAGTCTGAGGAGGACGTTGCAAATTGAGCAATCTCCTACCCATCATATCCCACACGTGCTCAATTGGGGATAAGTCGGGAGATCTTGATGGCCATGGTAACAATGTGACATCATTATGTTGAAAGAAGTCTATTGTGACTCTTGCAACATGTGGTCGGGCATTATCTTGTTGGAAAGTTGGATCTGCCAGGGCGTCAAGATAGGGTAAAAGATGGGGTTCTAGAACTTCGTGGATATAACGCTGCGCGTTCATGTTACCTCTGATGAAGATTAAAGGTGACCTGGAACTATAAGCTATAGCACCCCAAACCATAACTCCAACAGTGTGATGAACATGTCTTTCAACAAAAAACTGTGGATTCCTCCTTTCACCGCGTCGCCTTCTAACCCTGGCACGACCATCACGCATGCCTAAACAAAATCGAGACTCGTCACTAAAGACAATACTGTTCCATTCCTGATCCCAGAGTGACCGTTGTCTGCACCACTCAAGGCGATTACGTCGGTGTTCTCGAGTTAAAGGGAGGACCCAGTGTGGCCGGTATGAAAACAAGCCAAAACTTCTCATTTGTCGGTAAACAAAGAAAAGAAAGTCCAGCTTCCCGAAGTCCCACTATATGGCCCCTATCAAACTCACTAAGTTGACGAAATCGTACAGGTCTCCGTACTCTAGGCATCGTAACCGATCGTAAAGGATGTCAAGAACCAAAATCAGCCAACGTTGATTCTTTACTGCGGCTGAAATATTCATTTTTAGAGCGTTAGTGAATTAAAAAAAAAGCAGTATAAAAACCGGAATGTCCAACTGATAAGGCTGAACATTTTTTCACTTGTTATTTAAAGTAAGATAAATACATTCACCAACTTTTATTAAAATAAAACCATTTAAACTGGGTGTTCGGATTTATATGTCACTTATGTTTCGGCAAAATTTGTTGTGGCTTGAATTTGATGAAACGAATTATCTATTCTTTCTTGTAACTAATGTATTAATTTGTTCAGCATACCCTAGTTGTTTACCACAAAAAGAAACCCAGAGGTTCAAATTAGAAGACCTCGCAGGCCAGTGTCTCGGTCCGTTTCTGCCAATCCATCGTTATCTAAAATGATTATTTAACCATGCGGTTGTCACGATGAACATCTGGTGGGACACCGCCGTGCTGATACCACTTTCGTACTTTCGTTGCTAACTGAACATCATCTAAAACATTTTCTATGTGATTATCTAGAAAAGCTAAGTATGAGTTTTCA